TTTTTNTTTTTTCAATTTTTTTTTTCATTTCCAATTATATGTCTTCCTCCTGCGCCGAGGTCAGAGCTGACAACTCTCCATGCGTATAGTTCTCAGGTACATGCTTCACTTTGGTGGCCCTGGGTACGTTATTCTAGCCCTCGCCAGTAACGTCATTGCCAATGCTGTTCTTCTTGGAACGACCTGGTGGCTCTCAATTTGGGTCAATGCCTACAACAAGAAAGAGGCTGTGAATGTTGCCTTTTACATCACCATCTACGCTGCGTTCAACTTTGGCCAGGCCTTGCTAAGCGGAATCAGCTCTCTGATATTCAACCGAGGTGCATGGCTGGCCGCACGCAAGTTACACAGGGGACTCACAGAGGGAGTGTTGAATGTCTCCCTGGGCTGGTGGAAGAACGTACCAGTGGGTCGGGTTGTTAATCGGTTCAGCCGAGATGTTGGGTCATTGTGAGTATCAGACTTTTGCTTGATTTCTCTACGCTCCAGATGCTTGCTGGCACTTCATAATTCGAAACCCAAGGCTAACCAATCATTTTCAAAACCAACAGGGACAGTCAACTAAGCTCAGCCGTCCAATATTTCATCGACGCTGGCATGGCCATTCTCTTTCGTCTTGGTGCCGTCAGCTCCATCATGCCTATCTTCATGCTTCCTGCCCTTTGCACGGTCGGAATAGGTATCATTTGCGGCGAGATGTACACCCGAACAGCTGTCGTCCTCAAGCGGTTGGTCTCATCCAGTCAGAGCCCCGTCTTCTCCCAGTTTAGTGGCAGCATGTCTGGACTAGCGGTGATCCGTGCCAGACAAAACATGCCCGAGATGTTCCGTGATCAGTTGGCGGACCGGTTAAGGTCTTTCTCGCGGTTCCAGGAAACTTCGTTCAACCTGAATCGGTGGGTCGGTGTTCGGGTCGACTTTGTCGCGGCGCTGGTCACTGTCTCTGCTGGTGCGATTGCAGTGTGGAAGGTCGGTGTTGTGGAGGCTGGATTGGTGGGCTTTTCGCTGAGCAATGCGACGGGCCTTAATTCGCAGATTTTGTACTTTGTGAGGTTTATGAATGATATGGAGGTTGAGCTGCAGAGTGTAAGTTGTTTGTTGCTGCTTTCTACCTTGGTCACAAGCATCTTGATGAGCCTGAGCTAATCCCATGACAGTTCCATCGCGTTGAGGAATACGTCAAGCTTCCTGTCGAAGACGAAAAACACGGCTTGCGTCAACCCGATACCGATAGCGAAGGCCATGAAGACTCTTCTTTGCTTGAAGTTCCTGAGGATTGGCCAAGGACAGGCGCGATCGAGTTCCGTAACGTTACGGTCAGATACGACCCTGACGGCCCTGACATCCTGAAGGACATCAGTCTTAAATTCAAGGCTGGACAACGGATTGCCGTTGTTGGACGTACAGGTTCAGGGAAGAGCACAGTAAGGCGCCATCTCTACACCTACAATTTCCTTAGGAAAAAACAGCTAGGCTAACGTGTTTCATCCCATTCTCTAGCTCGTCCTCTCCCTCCTCTGCTTCACCCACATCATCTCCGGGCAGATCCTCTACGATGGCGTAGACATCACGAGAATCTCACGCAAGAGACTTCGGCAGGCGTTGACCATCATTCCCCAAGAAGCTACTCTTTTCAACGGCACCATCAGAACGAACCTCGACCCATCCGGCACCGTGCCCGTTCAGATATTGGAGAAGGCGCTCAGGTCGTGCACCGGCATTGCGTCCTTTGACTTTCGCGAGAGCAGCAGTGACAACAGTATCAATGGGGCTGAGACAGTTGACAGCAACGACTCGATGGTACCAACCGAACGCACCCCCCTTCTCTCTTCTTCCCCTTCCTCCTCCTCACCCACAAATGGCTCTGGCTCCGGTTCCATCTCTACCCGGGGCGCTCTCTCCCTCGACACCCGCGTCCTAGCCAAAGGCGAGAACTTCTCGCACGGCCAGCGGCAAGTTCTCTCTCTATGCCGGGCCCTAGTCCGCAAGTCCAAGCTGATGCTGCTTGACGAGGCGACGGCAAGCATGGATTTCGAGACTGACAGGGGGATCCAAGTGGCGCTGCGACAGGAACTCGACGCCGGGGAGGAGAAAACAAGGACGCTAGTGACAATCGCGCATCGGTTGAGGACGATCCTTGATTATGACATGGTTGTGGTGATGGGCGGAGGGAGAGTGATGGAGGTGGGTTCGCCAGGGGAGTTGTATAAGGATAAGGGTGTGTTTTGGGAGATGGTCAGGTTTAGTGGAGAGGGAGAGGACTTGGAGGGGTGTTGAGGGAGATGGCGGTAGAGGTATGAGGGCGCTTTTTGCAACTCTACCCCTTGAGGAGGTTGGCCAGTACCTGTCTGGCTGTTTTTCCATAGTCTGCTCCCCCAATCTTTACTTTATTGAAGCGTCCATGTTGTCAACTAGATTCGTCGTGGGCCCAAAAGTGTCTGAAGCCGCGGCGATTTCACAGGGTGCGAGTCTGACGAGGCCCCCATAAAAGAGTGGGGTATGGCGCGAGTAGTGTGCAATCTAGTGCTGGTTTGTTTGTTAATTTGGTACCTAGGTTCTCACTTCTAGTTCACGACATTCTCCTAAACCTCTCAAAGACTGAATGAATGGCTAGATATGGGTGTGAAAGGTATTGGCAAGATCCAATATAGTTTGCTTTATTTTGGGAAAAGCATTTTCACCGCATGAAAACGCTTAGGGAAGTTGCCCCATAGTCTCGAGCTAACAATCAAATCGGTATCGGACTGCATACACTATAGTGTACTTGATCGACCTTATGGCCCGCGGGAACAGGAATAGGGGCCGGAAAAAGTGGGCTTTCTGGAGATGTGGATTCGTGGACGCCTACTCACTGTCTTATTTTGGGCTTGGCTCGGTCCAAAGGGAAGACGATCATCGGGTTGCTGAAGATAGAATCAGATGCGAGGGATCGAAGTTTGGAAAGTCGACCTCCGAACATTGATACAGGTTGTTATGGGAAAGTGGGATTTCCCAGAGTGCCATTGTACAGCGCTCGCGCCCCCTGGATCGGCATGTTCTAGACCGACCTACAAGTGACCAAGCACTGTTTTTGATTACGTAAAGTCTTGGAAGCACAACACAGCAATCATATCATCACAAGGCCCTGCCTGGTTGGGGTCGATAATGTATGTTTGCTCGTTATCATCTATCGCGATATCTACCATGCTTGTACAGTAGGAATCCGGGCCTCCGACCTCAATCAGATGCCAGCACCTCCTAGACCCCGCCGACTGCTGCGAAATTCGAGGGCATGTAAGGCAGCTGGCAGACTGAGACGGACGAGGAGATTTGCGCAATCCAGCTGACGTATTCTCAGGTGATTTTTGCCATAAACGCCGGATCAAATGCCAGGAGAATCTGCTAGACCCGAGTCGTTGTCAAAACTGTGTCGAATTCGACATCTCATGCACCTATCTCCGGCCCTTGAGGCGCGGCCGAGGCTCTCCAAAGAACGCGGCAGGACCAGGTGATCGTCCAGATGCTGGCCAAAATATCGCCAGCAACGCTCGACGGGTTCATCCTGAAGAGCTTGTTGCACTTCCATCTACTAGTCAACCACCTCAGGTGGGCGATGACCAGCCTCTAGACTTGGCCGACGCAAGCAGTTCCGCTACAAGCGAGCGTCGGAGTGAGCCTCTGAGCCCAGCATGGCAAGGCTTTGCCCGAACTTCCACCTCAGCCATCAAGAAGCTGCTCTCTGTCTACCACAAGACCGTTTACCCAATGTGAGTCCCATCCCCCCTTGTCCGACGTCGCGTTGCAGAAAAAAAAACCGAATACCTTTTCTGATATGCGTGGGTCTAGCTTTCCCTATTTTGACCCCGTCAGGCTCGACCAGAGGCTTGAAATGCTGGAACATTGTCGCAGCCGTGCATTCTTCTGTTCTGTGATGGCGGCTTGCGCGCTGGCTTCAGCTCGAGTGAGGGACGGTGCGCCAAGTGGTGGCCAGGATGTGGTGGGAATAATACCAGCACAAATGTTCTTTGCCGCCGCAGAAGAAGCACTTCCCAAAGACCTTCTTCAATCTCAGGACTTTGACTACCTTAGAGGCATTGCGCTGTTGGCGCTCGCAAGCCTTCAAGACGCCAGGATCGGAGCGATGCAGATGTACATCGGCCACTATTTCACCATGCTTGCCATCAACCAGTGGCACGACGAATCCAACTGGCCGACTGGATTACATCCCACGGAGAGGGAAGAGCGTCGTAGATTGGTACGTGCACTGCGCCGCGGAGCGCTTCCTAACTGCTTCACTCTCTGTCGTATTCTCTATACTGACCGATGTAGTATTGGTCGTTCTACACGCTCGATATCTACTCGTCCATCGTCTGGGACGGCTGCATCCATTTTCAAGAAAGCCATGCGAAAGTCGAGTATCCTACTGGCAGGAACTGTAACGAAGCTGAAAGCGCGCCTTTGGAGAGAGCACATTGGATAGTCGGGTGGAACTTTACCACGGATCTATACCGTATCTTGGAGCATAACTTGAGCAGGTTGCGAACGCGGTCGTCAAGATTCCACTTGGTGGCAGGGGAATCTGTATCGACTCCAACCCTCAACGTGTCCAGCCAGGATCGTGTCAACGAGCTGTACTTGGCCTTGCCGCCCATTTTCAAGCAACTCCAACCGGCTACTGGCGATCCAGATCAAGATGTCTATGGATTTCAAGCCGCCAACATCCAAGCGACCATGGCTCTCCTGAAGATGATCTCCCTTTCTCTTGAGTCTGATCCTGATGCGGAAAGGAAGTGCTCCGTCGTAAGTGACATATTGGCGACTTTCCACCAAGTACCCAAACCACACCTGAGAGCAATTAGCGCGCCTTTAATATACCACATTGGCGGGATCGGCACCATTCTGGGGTCGGTTATGGAAGGACCGCTATCAGAAAGCTCATGCTGCGTCGTACGGGACCTGCTCCTCTCCATGGCCGTGCTGCTGGAAAGTCTGGAAGCTTGCCTTCACCGAAGTGGCGGCGCTGGACAGAGGCTTCGAAGTCTTGTTGCGCGCATTGAAGAGTACATAGTCTCCCGAGGTGGTGGGCGAGCCATCCAAGCACAACAGGCCGCGGATATCCCTGCTTCCGCTTTTCGAGAGGGCACATCGAACAACAAGAGTAGTAGTTGGGACGGAGCGGCACTCCCAGATTTATCGGGCCAATTCCAACTTCCTGACGAGCTGCTGCAAGACTGGACTTGGCCGTTTGCCATGTCAAACAGCTATTTGTCTTTCTGAGCATGTTCATTGAAACGGCTTCCGGCAACAGGCATGTAGTGGGTGTCAAGGGGGGGAATACAAAGATGCCTGACAACTAGAAGATTTTTCTTATTTTTTTTTTGTTTCCTATTAACATTTACCACTTATTGTTAAACACTTTACCATCCACGTAGTTCACCATCTCCTTCACGTGATCCAGCTTTGCCCGTCCCGCACCGAACAACATGCCTTTCGTCATCACCGTCCGGTAGTTCTCTCCCGGGTTCACTTTGCCAAGGACATACGGCCGGCGCGTCTCGACCCTGTCTGGGACGGGGATGCTTCGTCCGACAATAGCCTCCATACCCTGCCACGCGAACGTGACCGCCTCCTTGGCACCGCCCGGAATACCGGCAGCGTCCAACATGAACATCTTGACCTGCGGGAACTGCTCCTTCATGTAGTCGGTAATGTTAGGGTTGTATGCGCCACCGCCGCACATGAAGACCTCGTCAACTGGGCGGTCCTTGGGCGCATAGCGGCGCCAGTGATCCACGATGGCCTGGGAAGTGATTCTGGTGACGGTAGCAACAACGTCATCCGCCGACATACCCAGCTCGGCACCCTCCTTGATCAGGTCGTCGGCCAGAGTATCGCGGAAGACCTCACGGCCGGTTGTCTTGGGCGGGTCCCAGCTGAAGTAGGGTATCCTGGCCATGAAACGGTCCACCATGTCCTGGTTGATCTTTCCCCTCTTGCCCATTTCGCCGTCTCTGTCGTACTCCTGCTCTCCGTTGGTGTAATGGCGAACCACAGCGTCGATCAGAGCATTGCCCGGGCCGGTGTCGAAGTCGTACGCGTGCTCTGGGCCCTCTGGGGGGATGAAGCATACGTTGGCAATTCCACCAATGTTCTGGCACGCCCGCAGCTTGCCAGGGTGATGAAGCAGCAGGGCGTCGAAGAAGGCAATCAGCGGCGCTCCCTGCCTGCCGGCGGCCTGGTCGGAGACACGGAAGTCGGTCACGGTGGTGACTCCTGTCCGCGAGGCCATGAAGGTACCCTCGGCCATGGTCAGAGCAGACCTGGGGATGCCCTCGTCCGGCATGCTGGCCAGCCAGATGGTCTGGCCGTGGGAGCCGATGGCATCAAGACTCTTGATGTCCACATCGTTCTCCTTGCAGAACTGGATGGCGGCAGCAGCAAAGGTCTCGCCAAGGTGGACGTTGACCTCTGAGAGTTCGGAAGCAGATGTCCGATCGTGCTTGATGATGGACAGAACACGCTTCTTCAGGTCAAGATCCATGGGAGCCTCTCCGTACTTGAGGAGGGAGAAGTGCATGGGTGAGTCTGGTGTTTCTTGCCTGAAGTGGCACAAGGCACAATCAATACCATCCTGATATCACCATTAGTTTTCATGGTCAATAGACATCTAGTGAGTTTCAGTGTAGTCATCACCCACCATCGATGTGCCGCTGTTCATTCCCAATACGACGAGATCAAGCGGTTGCGAGCTTGAAGGGCTGCCTCCATTGACGGCAGCATGGCCGTTGACTCCATTTGTCGCCATTGTTGATGTTGTTGATGATAATGATGATGATGTTCAACAAGTGATAATGTCAAAGTCGACCGAAGAGCAGCGACTTCTATTTCAATTCTCTAAGGGGGCGAGTAAGAGCGTGAATTCACCATCAGGTCAGCTGTCAAGCATGATTCGCTAGGCCGCGTATCCGGACAGCCAGAGCATATGGCCATCTCAGCCTTCCTTTTAACCGGCCACTTACACCCCATATCCCTTGGTCGAGCCGGGGCCCCATTCGCGAGGTTCGCCAAGATCCTTGGTTTCGGGTCATCGACATCACACACTTTGCTAGTCATGGTGGACGGTCAAGCGGTTAAGCGGTGAAGAGCACTGCCGGGGCACGCTTAAGCGGCTACACGGTCTGACGGTTAAGCGGGTATGGGGTCTTGGCAACCTCTCACGACTCAAGTCGACAAAGAGCGGGAAAAGATCACCAGACACTCTTCATCCACACCTCCACAAAGTGGCTTCTCCCCAGTTTCTGGGGATGGCCGGAATCTTGGAAAATGCGGGGACTCCACCGGGGAAGCGTGAGACGTTGATCTGGGGAACTAGGATCATGCAACCTAACCGGGCCCTTCCATCCTGCCGGGTTCTTGGGTGTTCGCCTCCTTCGGCATTCAGAATGTTAGTACGGGGAATGCCAAAAGTGGCGATAGCTTTGTTTTTCTCACAAAAAAATGGTTTGCCTTGCTAGACTTGCTTACGTCCAACCCCCTCAATATCGTAAGGTGGCGGTACCGCGCTAACATGGAAGTTGTGTGTATGTGCCGGCAGAGGTGTGATGTTGACACTCGACTGCGTGAATCGTAACGTAGGTAGGGTATCCTAAGTAAGCAATTTTCTTGCGAGTTTCATACATAAGGAGCCTCGATAGCCCACCCACTGGTTCGAATCGCGATCGTGTGGATTATATCCATAAGCAACGTTTTTCTCTATCCATCCACATTTTGCAATATCGTTGCACCACCATCACCATCATCATGGGTTACACCACTCTCTGGAAGAGGCTGTCGCCTACCCAGCTCAATCTCGCCATCCAGACCTTCTCCCTCATCAGTATCTTCTTCGAAGGTTATGATCAAGGTGTGATGGGCGGCGTTAATGCCTCTCCACGTTATGTTACCGAGGTTGGTATCGGCTTGCCTGATGGCACAGTAACGGACGAAGTTCACCAGGGTGGTATTGTATCAGTCTACTACGTCGGATGTATCTTTGGCTGCTTTGCCGGAGGATGGCTTGCGGATAGGATTGGACGAATTAACGGGTATGTGCTCCTACCTCCCTACCTACCTACCTACTACATCTTAGAAGTCACTGCCCCCTTTTTTGGTCTTGAAGATGTGATCTGATAGCTAATGCTTCTTGATGGTATTACATTAGTCTCTTCATCGGAGCCGTCCTCTCCCTCATCGGCGGTGTGCTGCAGGCGGCAACTCAGTCGAGCGACTTCATGATCGTGGCCCGTGTCGTGACCGGTCTCGGCACCGGCGCCCTTACCGGCATCACCCCCGTTCTCGTCTCCGAAACCTCAACAGCATCACACAGAGGCGGCTTCCTCGGCTACGTCTTCATCGCCAACTACCTCGGCATCGCAGTCGCGTACTGGATCTACTTTGGCATGTCCTTCCTCGACAACGGAAATTCGGACGTTCAATGGCGCTTCCTCCTTGCTTTCCAGTGCTTCCCTGCCATCCTGCTTGTCCTCGGAATCAAGCTTCTACCCGACAGCCCTCGATACCTAGCATCAGTTGGCCGCCTCGATGACGCAAGAGAGGTCCTGGAGCATGTGCGAGGAACCCACGATGCTACTGCTGTCGAGATGGAGTTCCAGGAGATTGCCGCTGTTGCGAAGTCAAGCCAGAAGAGCTCACCCATTCAATTCGCCCAGATCCTAGCTGGACAAGGCGGCAAGCCCGGTCATCTTGGCCGCAGGGCGTGGTTGTGCATGCTCTTGCAGATCATGGGTTCATGGACCGGTATCACAGCAGTGACGGCTTATGCCCCTGTTCTCCTCTCAGCCGCCGGTTACGACCGTCTTACCCAGAACGGCCTGACCGGTGGTCTTAGCACCGTCGGTATTGTTGGAACCATCATCAGCGCCCAGATCGTGGACCGCCTTGGTCGCCGCAAGTGCCTCATGGGCGGATCATTCGCCTTGTTCGTTGTCAACCTCGTTGCCGCCTGTGTCTACGAAGGCGCGAGGGCACACCCGGAGCGCTCTTCATCCTTTGCTCCTGCTGCTGTCACCATGCTGTTCCTCTTCAACATCTGCTACGCCGCAACCTGGGGTACTGTTGCGTTCCTGATCCCTACCGAGATCTGGTCCTCGGACATGCGTGCCCAGGGCAACGGCTTTGGTATCACGGGGTGGGCTATTGGTGTTGGTTGGACCGTCCTGGTCAACCCCATCATGTTCAGACACCTCGAGAACAGGACCTACTTCCTCTTTGCGGGACTCAACCTTCTTTGGATTCCCATTGTGTACCTCTGTATGTCAACTCCCTATTCTCCCATCTCCTCCTATATCGTTATATGACTCTCCAGTCGCGCTAACTTAATTCACTCAACAGTTTACCCGGAGACGGCCAACCGCTCATTGGAATCGATCGACGTCCTCTTTTCAACGGACAGCCCCTTCCACTGGGCCATGGAACGTGCTTATCGCCAGCATGGCGACATTCTCGCCGACATGGACTCTTCAGATGGCCCTGCCAAGAAGAGCGAAAGCGAACCACACGGGATTGAGGAGTCTGTTCATAACGAGCGTGTTTAAGTTGCACAAGAGGAGTCATTGAAGCAGGATTATGAGCAACTCAGGGGGGAAAGAACACACAATATCGTAATATACCTGACGGGGAAAGGAAAAAAAGGCGACTACTGGATACCGGGCGCCATGGGATGAAGAGCCCGTTGTATCTGTTGTATTTTTTAAAAGTAATGATCCATGATGAGACGAAGAGGAAGGAAGGCCTGGAATTCAGGGCCTTGCCCAGCTCCAGTATTGGCTGGACACAAAGGCTTTTTAGAACCTGCACGGGGTTCTATCAGTGGGAACCAGAGGTTTCCCGTATCAATACCAAGAAGTTAGTACAAGCATGGAGCCAAAGTGAAATCTAGCGGTGTGACAAGATGGATTCCATGTGAGGATTGATGGCGATGCTCAAAATGGGTCTTTCTTTCCCCCAACGGACAGAGAGTGTGGGAAGACGACTTGAAATGAAGGAAAGAAAGGCACGAAGGAAGGCGTAATGGGAGACCAGAAAAGTTACAAGTTACAAGAGATGACAAGAAACATACAACACTTGGACCACATAATTTAAAGATTCGGTTCATACAGGTATCCTTTCATCTCTGACAAACAGTCTTACCGGTCGCTTATGTAGTCTAGCTGTTGAATCGGTGACGACCGGCAAAGCCCAGGTGCTATACTGCGGTGTGTCTTTCTTTTTTCTTTCCCCAGCTGTGCCTTGCCGTTTTGGAATATAATACCACGCTTGTTCCCTTTTTTTTTTTTTTTTTTTTTTTTTTTTTTTTTTTTTTCCTCCTCTTCTACTTCTTCAAATCATTACATGCACTTACAAGATCTCCATAATCAGCGCAATGTCAAAGGCAAGTTCTCATAATTATATATTAAGTAGAATAAGTAGAACACAATAATAGGTAGAGTTGCTCTACTTGTCTAAGCATCAAGCGGCGACCTACGCGGTACATAACCGTACAAGTATGATGACGATGCGTAGTCCGTATCTGGCAGGTTGTGCGTGGATTTTTGTCTCAGCTGAGACTCAGTAATATTCTTCACTCCTTTACCGAAATTGACTAGACAGAGCACCGCCATTGCGGCGGCGCAAAGCGTCATGATCAATGTGATAGCGGCGAAGGTCCTAAACATGTAAAGCTCATGGTCGATGGTCGTAAGCTTGTAGCAGAGAAAACCAGCGGCCGCGAGCTGGACAAGCTGGAGAAAGCTCAAGTTAGACAGGGAAGAATACAAACAATGGCGATTGGTGAAAAGGCATGGATCCAGTGGACTTACGATGATGACAAGCGTGCCGACCGTGTACTCACTCTGGGCACAGACCACCGCAAGCCAGATCACCAGGAGAACGAGGGGAATTGCGCCAATAGATAATCCAAATTCGGGTCTGCCCATGTCGGCAGAAGCGTTGATCATGTTCTGGAGCAAGAACCCCAGCAAGAAGAACAGATCGAACTTGAGAAAGGCCGTATAAGACTGGTTGCGTAGGCCATCGTTATGTATTAGAAAGCGAATAGAACGTGGTGTGACATGGAAGGGAGCCATACCTGTAAGATTAAAATACGCTTTCTCATAGCCCGATCCGCATTAATAGCCTTATAAACCACCCAAGCAAACTCGGACCGTAGCTTCCACGCTACAAAACAGAAAACACCCGTCGCCACCGCCACCACCAGCGCCAGCGCCGCTAACGCCGGCATACAGTCCCCCCAAGCATTCGTCCCCGGCGTTATCAGCGGCTTGCCATCCGCTGTTATGCTTCCCGCGAGCGAATCAAGCGCGTCTTTGATGTCCTTGGGCTGAAAGAGGGCGTAGCCGAGCAGACAGAGGTTGTAAACACACAGGCCGACGACCTGGATCATGCTGCTCGAGCGCAGCGCGTCGTACACCAAGATGAGCTGATAGACAAAGCCGAAGATAAAGAGGGCGAAGAACAGGGGGACTGTGTGGCCGCGGGGTACTTGGACTACGGCGGGCTCGAAGCAGCGCTCGACGGCGATTAGGACGTAGCTGAGGCATGTTAGTCGGGGGTTTGGGGCGTGAGGGTATATCTCACTCACGCTTCAAGTGACGACGCGATCAGGGCTTGGACGACAGCGACGGCTAGGAATGCGCGTGTCCATGTCGATTCGGGGGCATACATTGTTCCGGCGAAAACAAAATATTTGAGGAGCCAGCTACGTCTCAAAGTCCCGATGCCTCGGGATAACAAAAGACAGAGAACGGAAACCCTTTGAGATCACAAAACCCGAATATGTAGGTAGTCGGACAAACATTTGTCGAAGCTAAACCGGGGTTAACTGGAGTATGTAGCGGGAAGTGTCGATCTCAGTGACTAAGGATCACCATTCCCAGGCACCCACCCTGGTTAGCACAAGCTACATAATTCTCACTCAGTCCGACATTGGTGTGTAGTCGGTACCAGGACCCTTGATCTTAGTTCTCACGACTGAGAAACCTAGTGCACTTCTACAGGAACTTGGCGCGATCACTTGCGTTCAAATAAGGGGTTCTGGATCGATGGGGTAGGAGATCCATGGCGGTGTTTGAACAAGCGTAGCCGTCAGGGTTGTTAAGCAGCTCCGGCGTGATCTTCGTACTTTGGATGTCGAAGAATCTGCAGGTCCGCCGGAGGCTCAAAAACCCCCTATCCGGTCTTGCCGGTCACGTTGGTTCCCTCCCCTGACCCACCACCCTGCAGTTTTGCCAAGTCTCTGGTGTAGCTTTGCAGCTTTCAGCTGCTCCCTAATCCCTGCCGTGCCTAGAAAGAGGGAATTAGCATGCAATTTGAAGCCAAAGATGGTGATTTTGGTGATTTGTGAGTTGAGTTGAGCAGATCCGAGTGGAGACGGGGGCAGGGTGACGTTCCAACAACTCCGGAAGATGTCTGCCGAAGGGAGAGGAGTTTCAACTCAGAGTGCTTGGGCCGCCCGCGGAATTTTGCGATACTGTAACTCGTCATATCCTTTCCTTCTCGGTTTCGTTAAATATTGACTTTAATACCCGTCAGCGACCGCGAAAGCCAGGCCCAAAGCTCAAAATAGAGCCAGCAAAAGACTAAGAACCGGGCATGACATGAACACTTCATGTCGGCGGTTAAGCAGAATTGCAAAACCGCCCAAGTTCCTCTCGTAATTCGCCCAATTAAGGCACTCGATCCGCCTGGTCTAACCATCGTCTCACGGTCCACAGGGGGCTTCGAAGCCGTTTCGAAGATCCATTGAAATACAACTCCGCCCTCTAGCTCGCCTGATTCTTTTGCACAGCCTTTTACGCCTTCATCAGGAGGGAGGCTCAAAAGAAAAGAGGAAATTGAGGAAATGCATTGGTGTGAATGATTTAGCGACCGAGGTATCTGGAAACCGGAAGTCTGCAAGATGTCTTAAGATAAATCCAAGGGTCATAGGAGGGGAAGACATAAAATAAAATAAAAAGACTTCGCTCAAGTGGCCAAAGCAACTAACTATTTCGAACTGCCAAATCAAGCAAGCCGTCTCCTATACACTCCCAACATCCAACTAGCCCTCAACACCGCCAAGCCGATCGCCATCTTGACACTATCTTTGACCAGATTCATCTTGCTCCCACCCACCTCATGCCACCCGATCGGCACCTCGGCCACCTTTATCCCATAGCTCGTGCCAATGACACTCCCATCGCTTGCCAGAACAGGGGTAGCCGGCGCCGACTCAGCCAGCATCAGCATCTCGATATCAAAGATCCATCCCTCCGTATGCATATACGGCACAATATGAGGCAGCGCCGCCCTGGAAAACAGTTTGAACCCGCACTGCGTATCCCTGATCCGGCTCGTCGCCGGCGGCGTGAGGATCATCAGCACAAAGTGGAACGAGCGCATCAGAAAGTTACGGACGGCTGAGCGCTTGACGACAGCTTCGCTGCCAACGAGGTGCGCGCGGCTGCCAATGGCCACGCCCCGGTTGGACCCGTCGACTACGTCCTCGCACCCCTCTATTAACTTGCCCAGGTCACCGAAGCACGACGCTCCATCGGCGTCGGCGAACACGGCGTACTCGCCGCGCACGTGGCGGAGGCCGTGTGTGACGCCGCCGCCTTTACCCCGGTTTTTTTCCAGAGTGACGATACGAAGTATGTCGTGCAGGTTGTGCTGGCGCGAGAAATCGAGGGCGACGTCAACGGTGCGGTCGGTGCTGCCGTCGTTGATCAGGAGGATCTCGTAGCCCGAGGGCGGGTGCTGGCGCTTGTGGGCCGAGGCGTCCTTGAACACGTTGCGGTGCGGCTTGGGCGTGCCGGTTCCCTTGGAGGTGGGACGGGAGCCGGGACCGGAAATTGCGGGCCGGCCAAAGTGTTCGTCGAGGTAGGCGACCATCTCTTCAAGGGTTGGGATGAGCCGGTCAGCTTCGTTGTAGGCGGGGATGACGACACTGATCTCGACTTCGGCGGGCTCGACAGTGCCGAAGTCGGGGACCGGGAAGCCGGCGGGGATGGTAGGGTAGGAGACTGTTGTTGAAGAGGAGGATTGTTCCTTCAGACGGCTCTCGGCGTGCCAACGGTCGTACCAGCAGGGCAGCGGTCGGGGCTTGCTGATGGTGCCATCGGGGTTGGTGGTGATATAAGTCTTTTCGGATGGGTACGGGAGGCGAGGCTTGGGCGCAACTATGTGCAGGACGATGTATATCTACGTCAGGTGGAAGCAAGATGCGAGTGTCAGTCAAGGCCTTGCATGAGCTGGGCTGGCGACGTGAAAGGGGCGACCAGGAAAGAGGGAAGGTTCATACAAGTCCCAAAGCGAGTCCAGCAACCGACACGGCGATTAGAAATAGAGTAGGAGTCGAGGTTTCGGCGGCGACGTCATAAAGAAACCAGACCAGCTGCAATGGCGCGCCGATGATATCCGAGATGGTGGAAGAAGGCGCCATCTCTCACGCCGCGCGAAACGGGCTACCGGAACTATTTCAGGGGACTAAATTGGAACTGCGTTGGATAGGACAAACGAAAGGAGAGGAAGGCGGCCGCTAGACCGCAAAAAACAAGAGCTCAGAACAGCATCGGGTGGTAGGAATAAAGCAGTACGATAGTTCAATTGCTAGCAAAGTGGAAGTGGGAAAGGTATAGTAGACACAGCAGCCAGATTGCGCCGGTTGGCGATGCCCTGAGTGATGATGTATCCGTCAAGGTCCCGAATGGTGGAGCGAGGGGAAGCTCCCGTTGCGGCGCGATAAGATGATAAGGCCGTCCAGGCCCAAGGAAAGTGGAAGATGCCACGGTGTCGGCGCGCTATGGCCGGGTGGAGATGTTCCCTACAGTAGCTGTCCCCATTGGAGAAATGCGTCTGTGGCTGACAAGGCTGGCCAATCGTGTCTTTGGAATTGCTCCCCTCCCGCAACGCCCCTGTCGATCTGTTGATCTTCCATTCCGTCTTCCACACTTGAGACACACCCGTGGTGGCTTATACATTCCATCCGTGGAAGTGTTCAACTTGTCCTCTAGGTGAAACCATCGCCAGGAGTCATCAACGCAGTCATCGCATTCCGATGTCACCATCTACCCTCGAGGTCTCTTAAAGAACGCACAACGCCGGTCCGTCGATTCAGGAATCGGATGAGGCTTGGACTGATGTGCCCTACCTGACCGTCCCGGTGTGTGCGATAACATGATGAATGCCCGTAGGGAAGCAGCAGGAGGCAATTCTTATTCATCGAACGTTCAATCTACTATTTCATCTCTGCAACAGCTTCGCATTGGGTCCTTCGCTTCCTACGTACCTCCCGGATATAAGCGACGCACTGAGAATATTCATCCCCGCCCGGCTTGCATGAGGAAGCGAGCTATTGTCGCCAATAAATTGGCCCACGAGCCATATGCTCCTGTTGTACTTCGTCCATCGGTGCGGTGGTGTTAGCCGGGCGTCTTCCACGCCTCCCTTTACGGATACATGTTACCGCCAAACCTGGCCAAGCATTTCAAACAACACATGGTCTTGGACCCTGAATGCAACATCAGCTTGTTCTTTTGGCGGTCCCGCTGTTGAACTATTCGACCACGCTTTCTAGTTCTGATCTCCCCATCTTCCGTCGTAGGATCCTCTGCCTACCAAGAACTGCGAACGCAACAGGATTCACACCGGTGACAGCACTGCTGTCATTCAGCTCCCCATCATCAGTGATGTGAGTGGCATGGAGCAGTCATGAAGCCATTACTCGGCATCGGCTTTGAATGGATGCTGAGTAGCCAGCAATATCTACCCCTAACACTCCATATGATCCCACCCACCACGTATCGTCCACGACACATTGGATCCAGACAAACCCTCCAAATGACTGAATGTTAACCGGCCTAGAAACGAGCAGACCTCACAATTACCAATACGGTTTAAGTTGGGTCCCCCTCATGGCCATTCCTCTCAGCCCAAAGAGGCCAGCCAAGCAGCCGTCCTGGGGTTCGTTTCAGCTGACCTGTGCCAACTGCCACCAAGCCCAAAGTAGCCAAAGCACGCCAGAGTCCAGACCTCCATTGTTCCATTAAGTGTATCGAAGTACTTACTGTGTCAAGAACCTTCGGTGTTGGCCGCCGCATGAAAAAAACACTAAAGCGTCTCAGATCACGCCATTGTCTTTTCTGGGTAATTCGAAACGAAGGAGTAGCATTGAGCATTGATTGTGCCCAGGCAGCTAGTAGAAGTAGTGAGTAAAAGCATTCCCAGAGGTACCCAGTACAGCATCATTGGAAGAGAAATACAAATGGACTGATTCATGTCGCACACTTTCTTTGGCGGTATGATACCTTTGAGCTTGGTGGTTGTCATTGAAAGCTGACAAAACGAAATCACACCACCACACCTGCCACGCCAATTACATGTACAGACTTTGGGAAATCGCCGCCACCTACCTACCTAGGTATTATTCCGTCCGAGCATTTGAGACGAAACAAAAACGAGCCGAGCCTTACATGGAAGCACCTACCTCACTGTTTTGAACGCTACAACCGTCTATAGTGAGCTCACCAAGTAGGTAATAGCCCCAGAGATACATCCCGCTATCTGCCCTCTCCCTGAACCCTCGCTCCTTCCTTATCGACTGATCTATCGTCCAGTTTCCTGGGCGATTCAAGTTCAGTCAGGAAAGAACATACCCAGGCAGCCGAATTCATGGTGTCACTAAAAGGTTGTTCCACCCACTACAGTCGTTGCCGGGTGGTCGGGCATAGAGCAGGCGTCTCCCGCACCCGCACCCGCACCCCCCGTACTACCTAGGTAATTACCTGTTCTGCCGTCCAGTCGATTTAGGAATAAATCCGATACCGTACGATACTAGAGGCAGTAGGTAATAACCGCAGCACAAGACTGTCGAGCAACAATGGCCTTTCAGGCTGTGGTGGCTGTAATCTAGGCCTCAATGTTTCGTTCAGTCGCCACCAATTTTCATCATTTGCAAGTGAATTCGGAAGAATGGAATCTTTGTTTTAGAACAGCGAGGGTTAGAAAGTAATTTTTCAGATAACAAGGATCGCAAAACAGTGGTGGTGGTGGTATTTCCATCTTCTCCAGAACCGTCAAGGTTTTCTAGCAGGTATTCACATATGCTGTTATCTGATACTCTCGCTCTCAACAAGGGGAAAAA